TACTAAACTAATTTAAGGTTAATGAATTTAAAATAATTTAACTACAATTTCCATTTTCATTCAAAGAGTCTCCCACAATATAAGAATTTAATTATAATGTAGAAACAAACAAGAGAGGAGGTGACATTTAACTACTACATTATTTCTTATATTTGCCAGAAAATCATATTATAATTGACTGCAAGCATCAAGTGAGATTCATTAAACTATGTAACTGGACAGTATCTAAAAACTTGTATAGTAAAATTTGTCACAAGATGACAGAATCTTTTATGTAAGACACAACGACAATTATTTTTAATTCGCAACTAACAAACCTGTTGCCACCCGTTGAGAATCCAATAACCAATATGTCAAAATAACAATAATCAGCTCATACATTTACTGGTTACATAAATTCAGCAGAAAACATTTTAAAAAAAATTACATGCTTATGTTTTTTTCAGAGCACTGTCATCTGCATTCTGAAAAACTTACTACAGTACATAAATAATTTTACTAATAAAACGTTTTTATATTGTATGAGTAGTAAAAGAAACCTGCTTTCCTATAAGTGGTATGATTATTAACTGCAGGATATTATTGGTTGCATGGGACCAAGTGTCATTCATAAATGAAATTTATATAAATGGGAAGCTTTTCCACACACAAAACTGAGCACTGTAGCGACGTTTCCTTCTTCTGTAAGGTCTCACTGTGGTGATATTTTATCAATTCCCTAGAGACAGATGAAAATAAAGAGAGGTGGGAAATTATAGTAATATATACTTTCACTAAACAGGGCCGTTTAGAAAGTTTCATTAGACCAGCTGTGCACAGTTGCACACCAAACCAAACTCATCCTTTAGTTAGTCCCTTGCACTAGTGTGACCTTTGTTAAACCACAACACAACACTCTTTCTTCTTTCTTTCTTTCTTTCTCTTCTGCAACTTTTTATTTTCTCTCTCGCCATTACTCTCTCTGACACCTGTGGTGCCTTCGTTTTCTGTGTTCAAAGTGATGAAAGAGGTGACGGTTGAAGCTGATGGAGGGCAGGGAGGAGCACAGGGTGTGCAAGAGGGTGGTAAGGGCACGGTGAGGCCAGACATACACAACAGGGCCATGAAAATTTTGAGGGCAAGAGAGCCTTACAATGGGTACGAGGAAGTGGGGGAGAAGCCCTCAGGTTTTGAAGTTATGGGATGGTACCTTTACGAGTTTTGCTTCTACTTTGTTCAAACTGTGCTTGTTCCTGTTGTGTTTCCTCTCATAATCAGTCAGCTACAGCGTCTCCCCACAGATTCGCTTCAGGAATGGGCCAAAAACCACCCAGCCAAGCACTGCTCACAAAAGGAAATTCATCTGTGAGTCTACTTTTTCGTTCTCCTTCTCATTTTCCTGCTCATTCTTTCCAACATTTCAACTCTTTTCCTTTTCCATCTACAATTTCACTGCCTATAGTAGTGCCAAATGCCATTTTTTAACCAAAAAATTTGTTTTTTCTTCTGTTGTCTCGATCTAGTCTAGTTTTGGTGTTTTGGGGCTTCTGTTAGCAAGTTTTTTGAAAAGGTTGCTGTAGTGGCCATGGATGGTACATCAGGGTTATTTTTTTGTAGAAGAACAAAAAAAAGACTTATTTTTTGATTTTAAAAACTTGGCAGCGTGCAAACTGAGCATAGGGTTCCATTATTATTATTATTTTTTTTTTATTTTTTAAAAAAATACTATTTTGAGCCGTTTGGTTCCACTATAGTTCACCATCATGAAAAGTCGTGTCCTTTGTGGCTTTCTTACAATTCTACTTTACTCTTACTCTACTCAAGAGTTAAGATTCCTTTTTCAAAGCACTTCATTACCCATCGGACATCAAACCTATTTATTAACTATGTTGGCATGTCGACCTTTGGTGTACAACAAAAAAACACCCTAAACCCATGCCCTTGTATTCTTGGCCAAAACAAGAGAGAGAGTAAAAATCCACGCTTTCCTCCTAGGGAGTATCAAAATGTTTGTCGGACCATCCCAAAAGTCATCAGTCACCTTTTAAACTTTTAAAATATCCATGGTATTATCCACAACGGTAAAATATGCATTACTTAACTTCATTATATTCTATTAACTTTTTAAAAATCACTATTAACACTAATCACTTCTTTACCTGAAAGATCTGTACTGTTTACTCACACATTGACAAATTTTGCATTAAAGACAGAGTATTATTATATGTGAAAGTTTGTACCTTTAATTTTGCGTAAAGGCTAAATCTTGCCTTTTGGGACCTTTGGGTGAAATTTTCATGAGTTAAATTAACTACAATTAACAGTGCCGACACATGAAATTGTTTCTATATCTTGTATCTTATCCATGTAATCTTTTCATAACTACAGTGCTCCCACTAAGAAACAGTAGTAACTGATTTTTTTCAATGTTCCCAAACCAAAATCCTGTACACACTACAGGATTAAGACTGTGTACACATCAAATAAACAACAGAGACACACTATTTACTATGTAAAATAGTCTTTGCATGTTCCCAAAGTTCCATTTAACAGTGACAGCATTCCCATAAACGGCAGGAAGATTATGTGTGCATGATCATTGTAGTCTGTGCCAACATATTAAGACAACATTTGAGCCAACAATTATGTTACTGGTTAATTTAAAGAGTAAATAATTCATGCTACTAGCTAATTTAGGAGTACATAGTTCATGCACTTATAAGGCAAAGGTATTTTTACACTGTATGTATACTACGAATATCAAGGATGATATCTGATAGATTGATAGTTGATACTAGACTATGACAAGAAGTATAACCTAAACTAAAGTAAAACATCTAACAAACGTGCGATTTGGTGGAATTGCAGGTATAGCAAACTCACAAATCACACCATAAGAACAGGTGGTGGATCAAATTTCTCCGCTTTGGAGTGGACATCGATTGCTTGGGCCACTGGTCTAGCTTTGGCTGCTCCAATTCTGGGGTTCATTTCCTTCCATCTTGATGGCCATTTCCCAAAACTCATCACAGCAGCAGCCACAGGAATCGGAGTTTTCTTCTGCCTCCCTGCAGGCTTCTTCAAAGTCACAGCCATCTTCGTTCCCTACATTGCTGGCATTGTTGCGGCCAGCACAGTTGCAACTGCTGCTCACACCCACCATCTCGGCCTCATGATCCGTTGTTTCACAGGACCGACCCTCAAGAGAAGCCAATTCTCCCTCAGACAAGCAGTCTCCAGCAGACTCTCTCTCCATGCCACAGCGGCCGGATGCCTTGGAGCCGCCATAATCTCCTCCTTCACATACCATATGCTCCGGGAACTCAATGACAACGACCGTGATGTGATGAGTCTTTGGGTTGTTTCAATATTCAGTGGTCTAATATGGCTTGTGGGGGTATTACACATTGTCACATCCATCAGCAGAACCACCGATTCCATCTCTTTCTCCTCAAGGCTCCACCCTTTTTCCATCTTCAAGTACCCTCATGCAATCGGAGGCCTTGCAGGGGTTTTCCTCTCCTCGTTCACCACCATGTCGATTTTCACTGGGGGAGTGATCTTCATAGTGGGACAACTCTGCATTAAGCCAGTGCACTTACTCTATTTCTGGCTAACTTACTTCCTTTTCCCACTTGTTTCTTTGTCAGTACTACAACCCTTGCTGCACGTGATCAAAATGAATTCTGTGAAAATGCAAATAGTGGGGTTCCTTCTGTCTCTCTTGTCATCTGGATTTGGATTCTACTACGGACACAGCCACTGGAAATGGGGTCACTTGGTGTTATTTGGTGCAATTCAGAGCACAGCAACAGGGATTCTGTATGCTTTTGGGAGGCTCTTGGTGTTGGACTGTGCTCCCTCTGGGAAAGAAGGTGCATTCTCGATCTGGTATGCTTGGATGAGAGCTGCAGGGTTGTGCGTGGGGTTCACGGTGGGGTCGGTGGCGCCCGGGCGAATTAGGACTTCATTCGGAGCTGCGTTCTGCACTGCCATTGCTGGAATTGTGGTGCTGCTATTCGGGAACATCAGTGATGTTGGAGGTGCTGTTGCTGCGGGGCATGTGAGAGAAGAATGTGAGAGAAGTTCTTCGAGTGCGGCTGGCTTGGATTCTAAAGAATCTGCACGAGTTTGAATAAGGAAAAGTGATGAAGAATATTGTTGTCTTTGTGATTCTTTGCAAATGATGTTAGTGCATGGAAGAGTATAAGGTTTTTATTTTATGATTGATTTTAGATGTATTCTGGTAGTTAATTGCTGTTGTTGTGCATGCATGATGTTTGGTCGCTGTTGAGGATTTGGGTGCTCATGGCATGTGTAACTGTGTTATAGTATTTTCTCATATTTCTCTCTCTTCTTATACATCATTTCTGCATAAAACTCTTCTAACCTGCTTGCTTTTATGTCTAATTCTAGTTACAATTTCCAATTCTTAACAGTTCCATTTTTTTTCTATTTAAAATGCCAAAAGTTTTTGATTGATATTACTCGCCATGTGGAATAGTTTTGGATTATTCGTTAACAGAAGAGAGTAAATGGTTTTATATTGTAAATAATGGCTCACTTAACTTTTAGATGGTTTAAACTAAAAATGTTGTTGTTTAGTTTGTCATTTTCTACAGTTTCCATTATAATTGTAAATTTAAAGATAGTGCAATTGCCATAAACTATTTATTTTCGGAGGATGATTCTAAAATTTAAAGATATCGATTGTTTTGTTCTATTGACTGAAGTTTATTGAACCTAGGAAATAATGTGGATTTTTAAACATTAAAGTGTGAAGTTGCGTTTTTCTTGTTTTATTTTTAAATAACACATAAAACTTGTTTAACAGCACAACCAATTTTTTTTTATGCTATTAGAAAGTCAGTTCAGAATATACCACGGGAAGTTTCTTTTATATTCTTTTAAAATATTTAGCATAATGGAAACTTGTTTTTCTATACAAAATTTTTTTATTTAAACTTGGTTAGCTTTTTTATACCACAGTGGTTTTTTTAAAACAATCATACTTGGTTAGCTTTTTTATAAAAGTTTAATACCAATTTTGGTTCAAACTTTTGTCAGGTATTAATTTCTTTTCTGTTTAATGTTGTTTTAAAGAATATAATTTATGTTCAATTTAATCCTTTTTGCAGACGGTGTTTAAATCGTTAAGGACGCACTATCCAGCTGTGCAATCAATGACACATCACCCTTGACACGTCATCATCATCTCTTACCTCCAGAAACTCTAATTTCCTCTACACAGAAACCTTAGCCACCACCTAACCCTAACAGTCGCCGCCACGGTAATGGCCAGCCACCATCTCCGCACCTTCATCATCTTCGTCCAGCAACCACCCATGGCCACCTACCAACACCTTCATTGGCGCAACCCGTGCATCCAACAACAACCACCACGGAACCCATTATCACGAATCAAATGAACCCAAAATGAAAAAACAAATTCATGGAAAAAGATCAAGAAAGGACCACCTTTAATCGTGATCACCAGAACCAACATCCTTCCAAAGAACAAATCAGATACATACTCCAAAAGAAAATTCCAAGTTCAGAAACCCTAACACTCCCCATCTGAACCCTCATCCCTCACTTCGCAAAACCCAAAACCTAGACCTTTAGGGAAGAACAAAATCCCTAACCACTCGCAAAACAGAGAAGAACCAAGAATTCCCCAAATCAATTTTGAAACGAAAATCATATATTCCAATTTAGAAAAACCAAAGAACACAACAAAAACCCCCCAAATTGAAACCCTCAATCACGAGTCCTATTGCTGCAAAATCGCTTGAGAACGGTGGGCTTCTCGCATCGTGACTACGTCAGGGATTGAACCTTCGCGGAGGCGCCGCCGCTGCAACCCTCACCGCGCCGCGAGAAAGGAGTTCACTCTTGTTTTTGCAAAACTCCAACATACCCACTATGGTCAATTGGACCATCGCAAGCTTCAGTTTTCCTCTGGCGGCGTAGGCGTAAGGAAGCTTTTCCCCCATTGCATTCAGAAACCCTAATTTTTTGGGTGGGGAAGGGGCTGCCATGTGGTAGTCCCTCATTGGCTGCGTCATGTTTCAGTCAAGGTAGGTCAACAGTTAAATGACATGACATTTACTTATTGAACGACTAGACAATGCGTCGTTAACGATTTAAACGCTGTTTGCAAAAAGGAGTAAATTGAACATAAATTACACATTCTTTAGAACAACATTGAACAGAAAAAAAAAATTAGGACAATTTCGAATAAAGCTGACAAAAATTGGGACTAAAATTGGTATTAGGCCTTAGATAAACTAGTGAAAACTAAGAATGGTGGACAAGGATTACTATATTTCTATTATTCAACTTGCAACAAAACAAATTATTTATTATCTATTAGAAACTTATTTAAAAAATACTTGTATGTAGTTTAAAAAACGTAGATATTTTTGAAAAAATATTTTATAAATTTTTAAAATAAAATCTAAATAAAATTTAAAAATAAAGTAAAAAATATAATATAAATTTAATTTTAATTTTAATTAAATTTAACATAATAAAATTTAATTAATTTTAATTTTAATTAAATTAAATTTAATAAAATATAATTTTAAATTTTTTGTAGGTAATGAATACAGATAGTATGATATCTATATTCGACCTATTTTAAATAGGTATTAAAATATTCGTTACTTGTAAATATCAACTATCTGATGTCGATTTTATCTGCAGATTTTTGTCGACATAGTTATTTTTGTCATCTATAATGAAAATACATTATTGTATTTGTGAGGGTTAAATATGCTTTTAGTCCCTCAACTATCAAACGATTTTAGATTTAGTCTCTCTTTCAAACTTTGGTTTGATCCCTGTCCTTAAGGAAACTATACATTTTTGTCACAAACTTGTGCCACCACCATCAACTAGAACCCAAAAATGCAAGAATCAAGACCCCTAACTCCAAATTTTAAAAAATAAATAAATAAGAGAACACAAGGACAGGAAACCCCCAAAATCCAATTTGAAAACAAAGATTCCAACTCCTTCAATCACAATATCAGAAAAACCAAGAACAGAAACCCCAAAGAAAAATTCCCAAATTCAGAAACCCTAAAATCAAACCCCCAAATTACAAGATCAAAACCCTCAACCTATAGTNTGGGGTTCATTTCCTTCCATCTTGATGGCCATTTCCCAAAACTCATCACAGCAGCAGCCACAGGAATCGGAGTTTTCTTCTGCCTCCCTGCAGGCTTCTTCAAAGTCACAGCCATCTTCGTTCCCTACATTGCTGGCATTGTTGCGGCCAGCACAGTTGCAACTGCTGCTCACACCCACCATCTCGGCCTCATGATCCGTTGTTTCACAGGACCGACCCTCAAGAGAAGCCAATTCTCCCTCAGACAAGCAGTCTCCAGCAGACTCTCACTCCATGCCACAGCGGCCGGATGCCTTGGAGCCGCCATAATCTCCTCCTTCACATACCATATGCTCCGGGAACTCAATGACAACGACCGTGATGTGATGAGTCTTTGGGTTGTTTCAATATTCAGTGGTCTAATATGGCTTGTGGGGGTATTACACATTGTCACATCCATCAGCAGAACCACCGATTCCATCTCTTTCTCCTCAAGGCTCCACCCTTTTTCCATCTTCAAGTACCCTCATGCAATCGGAGGCCTTGCAGGGGTTTTCCTCTCCTCGTTCACCACCATGTCGATTTTCACTGGGGGAGTGATCTTCATAGTGGGACAACTCTGCATTAAGCCAGTGCACTTACTCTATTTCTGGCTAACTTACTTCCTTTTCCCACTTGTTTCTTTGTCAGTACTACAACCCTTGCTGCACGTGATCAAAATGAATTCTGTGAAAATGCAAATAGTGGGGTTCCTTCTGTCTCTCTTGTCATCTGGATTTGGATTCTACTACGGACACAGCCACTGGAAATGGGGTCACTTGGTGTTATTTGGTGCAATTCAGAGCACAGCAACAGGGATTCTGTATGCTTTTGGGAGGCTCTTGGTGTTGGACTGTGCTCCCTCTGGGAAAGAAGGTGCATTCTCGATCTGGTATGCTTGGATGAGAGCTGCAGGGTTGTGCGTGGGGTTCACGGTGGGGTCGGTGGCGCCCGGGCGAATTAGGACTTCATTCGGAGCTGCGTTCTGCACTGCCATTGCTGGAATTGTGGTGCTGCTATTCGGGAACATCAGTGATGTTGGAGGTGCTGTTGCTGCGGGGCATGTGAGAGAAGAATGTGAGAGAAGTTCTTCGAGTGCGGCTGGCTTGGATTCTAAAGAATCTGCACGAGTTTGAATAAGGAAAAGTGATGAAGAATATTGTTGTCTTTGTGATTCTTTGCAAATGATGTTAGTGCATGGAAGAGTATAAGGTTTTTATTTTATGATTGATTTTAGATGTATTCTGGTAGTTAATTGCTGTTGTTGTGCATGCATGATGTTTGGTCGCTGTTGAGGATTTGGGTGCTCATGGCATGTGTAACTGTGTTATAGTATTTTCTCATATTTCTCTCTCTTCTTATACATCATTTCTGCATAAAACTCTTCTAACCTGCTTGCTTTTATGTCTAATTCTAGTTACAATTTCCAATTCTTAACAGTTCCATTTTTTTTCTATTTAAAATGCCAAAAGTTTTTGATTGATATTACTCGCCATGTGGAATAGTTTTGGATTATTCGTTAACAGAAGAGAGTAAATGGTTTTATATTGTAAATAATGGCTCACTTAACTTTTAGATGGTTTAAACTAAAAATGTTGTTGTTTAGTTTGTCATTTTCTACAGTTTCCATTATAATTGTAAATTTAAAGATAGTGCAATTGCCATAAACTATTTATTTTCGGAGGATGATTCTAAAATTTAAAGATATCGATTGTTTTGTTCTATTGACTGAAGTTTATTGAACCTAGGAAATAATGTGGATTTTTAAACATTAAAGTGTGAAGTTGCGTTTTTCTTGTTTTATTTTTAAATAACACATAAAACTTGTTTAACAGCACAACCAATTTTTTTTTATGCTATTAGAAAGTCAGTTCAGAATATACCACGGGAAGTTTCTTTTATATTCTTTTAAAATATTTAGCATAATGGAAACTTGTTTTTCTATACAAAATTTTTTTATTTAAACTTGGTTAGCTTTTTTATACCACAGTGGTTTTTTTAAAACAATCATACTTGGTTAGCTTTTTTATAAAAGTTTAATACCAATTTTGGTTCAAACTTTTGTCAGGTATTAATTTCTTTTCTGTTTAATGTTGTTTTAAAGAATATAATTTATGTTCAATTTAATCCTTTTTGCAGACGGTGTTTAAATCGTTAAGGACGCACTATCCAGCTGTGCAATCAATGACACATCACCCTTGACACGTCATCATCATCTCTTACCTCCAGAAACTCTAATTTCCTCTACACAGAAACCTTAGCCACCACCTAACCCTAACAGTCGCCGCCACGGTAATGGCCAGCCACCATCTCCGCACCTTCATCATCTTCGTCCAGCAACCACCCATGGCCACCTACCAACACCTTCATTGGCGCAACCCGTGCATCCAACAACAACCACCACGGAACCCATTATCACGAATCAAATGAACCCAAAATGAAAAAACAAATTCATGGAAAAAGATCAAGAAAGGACCACCTTTAATCGTGATCACCAGAACCAACATCCTTCCAAAGAACAAATCAGATACATACTCCAAAAGAAAATTCCAAGTTCAGAAACCCTAACACTCCCCATCTGAACCCTCATCCCTCACTTCGCAAAACCCAAAACCTAGACCTTTAGGGAAGAACAAAATCCCTAACCACTCGCAAAACAGAGAAGAACCAAGAATTCCCCAAATCAATTTTGAAACGAAAATCATATATTCCAATTTAGAAAAACCAAAGAACACAACAAAAACCCCCCAAATTGAAACCCTCAATCACGAGTCCTATTGCTGCAAAATCGCTTGAGAACGGTGGGCTTCTCGCATCGTGACTACGTCAGGGATTGAACCTTCGCGGAGGCGCCGCCGCTGCAACCCTCACCGCGCCGCGAGAAAGGAGTTCACTCTTGTTTTTGCAAAACTCCAACATACCCACTATGGTCAATTGGACCATCGCAAGCTTCAGTTTTCCTCTGGCGGCGTAGGCGTAAGGAAGCTTTTCCCCCATTGCATTCAGAAACCCTAATTTTTTGGGTGGGGAAGGGGCTGCCATGTGGTAGTCCCTCATTGGCTGCGTCATGTTTCAGTCAAGGTAGGTCAACAGTTAAATGACATGACATTTACTTATTGAACGACTAGACAATGCGTCGTTAACGATTTAAACGCTGTTTGCAAAAAGGAGTAAATTGAACATAAATTACACATTCTTTAGAACAACATTGAACAGAAAAAAAAAATTAGGACAATTTCGAATAAAGCTGACAAAAATTGGGACTAAAATTGGTATTAGGCCTTAGATAAACTAGTGAAAACTAAGAATGGTGGACAAGGATTACTATATTTCTATTATTCAACTTGCAACAAAACAAATTATTTATTATCTATTAGAAACTTATTTAAAAAATACTTGTATGTAGTTTAAAAAACGTAGATATTTTTGAAAAAATATTTTATAAATTTTTAAAATAAAATCTAAATAAAATTTAAAAATAAAGTAAAAAATATAATATAAATTTAATTTTAATTTTAATTAAATTTAACATAATAAAATTTAATTAATTTTAATTTTAATTAAATTAAATTTAATAAAATATAATTTTAAATTTTTTGTAGGTAATGAATACAGATAGTATGATATCTATATTCGACCTATTTTAAATAGGTATTAAAATATTCGTTACTTGTAAATATCAACTATCTGATGTCGATTTTATCTGCAGATTTTTGTCGACATAGTTATTTTTGTCATCTATAATGAAAATACATTATTGTATTTGTGAGGGTTAAATATGCTTTTAGTCCCTCAACTATCAAACGATTTTAGATTTAGTCTCTCTTTCAAACTTTGGTTTGATCCCTGTCCTTAAGGAAACTATACATTTTTGTCACAAACTTGTGCCACCACCATCAACTAGAACCCAAAAATGCAAGAATCAAGACCCCTAACTCCAAATTTTAAAAAATAAATAAATAAGAGAACACAAGGACAGGAAACCCCCAAAATCCAATTTGAAAACAAAGATTCCAACTCCTTCAATCACAATATCAGAAAAACCAAGAACAGAAACCCCAAAGAAAAATTCCCAAATTCAGAAACCCTAAAATCAAACCCCCAAATTACAAGATCAAAACCCTCAACCTATAGTTGTTAACCTGCATAATCAGGTTTAACCGAAAGATTTTGTCCTATCAACCTACTAAAGTCCCATCACCGGAACTACAAAAAGAATGTTACTACCATGTCGAAAAAGGGAAACAACAATCATGCTACCACGATGTGTTTATGTTACAGATGAAACGGTGTATGCCTTAGATGGATTGGATTCTTAATTTTGTATTTTTATTGTTTAAGATGATTCAAGATCTTCAGAGTTGAATTCCATTAAGGCTATAATAAAATGTGTAGAAGATCACAAGCTTGAATCAGAATTTAACCTTCATCATTTGAGGAAGCAAGCTACCCTTCTTGAGAAAGCTAACGCAGAAATGAAAAAAGGTGTTCAACATTAGGAACTAAACCTCATAACAAATGAGGCAATGGATCCAGTTCTTCCCGTCCAGCCAAATTTAGTAATGCACACTAGTAATCTTTTGGCGGCAAGAACCTAGCACCTTCTCTACAACCCAGTCTCGTTGGAAGATGTTCTGGTCCATTCAATTGCCCCAGCCAGACCGTAATTGATGGTTTAACAACTAATCCTTACACGAAAACCTATGGAACTACCCACATGCAAAGTCTAGCTGGAATAACACAACAACACTACTCTATGGTCAGACGTTAGCCAGCTCAGCCTATTTTTAAAGGCGTTAGTTTTGGAGGATGAAAATGTATAGTTTCCTTAAGGATAAAGATCAAAGTGTATCAAAGTTTGAAAGAGGGACTAAATCTAAATTCGCTTGATAGTTAAGGGACTAAAACATATTTAACCCTATTTCTAATAACCTAGAAATTAGAGTATTTAAAGTAGACGAGTGTTTTATTTTAATGAGATTGACTTTTTTTAATAATAAAGGTTTTATAATATAAACAAAAGTTTATGTTGTGTCTCATTATTTAAAACACAAACCATCTTTCTAAAAACTCATTCTTTAAGTTTCTCTACCTTCTCTCTAAGGTATCTGATCCATGAGTCATCTCTTTGACGATCAAGAGGTGCCTAAACGACCACAAGAGCGAGGTCTATATTTCTACCCGATCAATTTCTTATAGAGCAAGTAAGTTTCTCCTCTTTGTTCCTTTCACTATTTTGTTTTATGATCCTTGGTTTTGAAGGTTGACGCATGTGTCCACCCTTATCTATTCCTCGTTCTTTGTCAATCAACGGTCATAGTGACCTATTCTGATCTCAATTATGCGGTTTGTCGACGTTCTTAAGGTTCCTTGAGCTTGAAGCAAGGGTTTTGCATGTTTAGAGCTTGATAGCTTTTGGTCTAAGGTAAGGGAAGCTATTGTTTTCCTTCTAATTTGAGTTGTAAAGTATGTTTTGGGTATTTAATAGTATCGAAGTTCAATGTACGTTAATTTTGATGTTTGACTCGTGTGTTTTGTTTTAATATGCATGTATGATTGAATGAAAGTGGTTGTATGAATGTAGTTAAAGGTGATTATTGTCTTGTGTATGGTTGGTGTTGTGAAGGTTGATGGTATGAAATCAATAAAGCATATTGAGGAAACAAAATATATGTTGAATTATTAGTCATTTTGACCTTAAAGAAAGGGTTTTGGTGTGTGAGTTTTTAAGCTAAGGGTTAAATAGAGTAAACTCAGTTTTAGAGTATGTTTAGATGTGAATTGTGACTTGTTAGGGTTGTTAATTAGTTGAAATTTGTTTTAGAAAGAGGTATTAGTATTTTGGTGGAATTTTGATTGGTTTTCAAGTTCATTTTGGCGGTTTGGACTAGTGAGTTTATGAACTATAAGTTCGGTGCCAAAATGGTATTTTTAAAGGGTGTTGGTAAGTCATTTCTAACTTGTTGGAGTCCCTAAGTTGTTTAAAAATAAGCTATAACTTCTGGAATTCAATTTTAGTCTCTAAGATGAGGATTTAGTTGTTTTAAGTTGAAATCTTATGGTATAATTGTGTAAAACTAGTATAAGTTGAGTTATACACCTTGGTTTAAGTTTATAATAGGTTAGAATATAATCTAGAAGTGTTAGAAGTTGGTGAAAATTATTAGAATAGGTTGTGGGTGGTTTAGGAGGGCTAATTATGTAGTTTTAGTGGTGCAAAATTATGCATTCTCTTTGAGCGAGTAGAACTATCTTTAGCTGAGTGAGTGTAATCGTTGAGAAAGCATGACTCACTATTTCTGTATTTGCAAAGCGATGCATGGTAGCTGAGTAAGTGGACTATCAGGTACTTTTAAC